AAACAGTTGCAAAGGAGCAGGTAGAATGTGGGTAAGTCACGGCCAGGCAGCTGCTGGAGCGTGCTGCAAGCAACGGCTAGGGCTGACAATAGAGAGATGGAGAGGAGTTATTCATGTTTCCCCAAGAGCTGAGATCAGTTGAAGCATCGTTTTCCTCGGGGAGGGAGAGGAAAGAGCTCCCTTCAAACACATCGTCCCACGAGACTCATTAAAGGCTCATCAATTACAGTGAGAGCAAACAATTCAAGGGAAAGCTATCATAAGCCTTCCTTTGGACGGCAGTCATTAGCAGCTCTCCACTGTGCTGCCTCTCCCCCTCGCCAGCTTGGGTGAGTGGAAAGGGAGCAGAGGGTCAAAGCTGAGCCGCTGGTGTGGGAAAGCAGGAGCCCAGTGGCCCGGGAGCCAGCAGGAGAGGACCTGGTCTCCACAGCATCCCTGGGACCACGTGGACTTAAAGTAGCATCCTCATGGTGAGCACAGAGATGAGAGCATCCTCATCTCTCGTGGAGATGAGAATACAGGCTGGACTGGAAGGAGAACTTGGAAAGAAGGCAGTGGCCCATTTTAGCAAACTCCAGTTGCCCGATGTCCTCGCTCAGGCTCTTTTAAGGAGCTCAGGAGAAGGCAGGATTGGCCCATAGTGGGAACTGGGCAAGAGGTGCTCCAGCACAGAGCAACTGCCCTGATCTCCACCCAGCAAGTGGTTCCTCCAGCCTTACTCAGCTCAGCATTGGGGTTGTGGCATCAGGCCTGAGCAGGAGGTGCCAGCCCCCCAAGGCTGGCTCAGCCCCACAGGGAGGGAGAGGGATGAAGAAATGCTCTTTGCCCTTCTCTGCCTTATTTTCCTGCTCTGCAAGTGGGGTTATGGACAGAAGAGAGGTTGTGAAACACATAAGAATCTTTGGAAGGAAAGCAGAGGACTGGGGCAGCTTTCTAAAATTATTTCAAAAGTCATTATTAACAAAAGCTGAGGGCCAGGGACTGCTTTCCCACTCCCAGCGCAGCTCCTGCAGGTTTGCTGCACTTACCCCCAAGCCTGTGCATGGGCTTCTCCGTCCCTCACAGGCAGGCTTGGCACCAGACACCTCTCCAACTGCTCGCTGCTGTGACCTCCAGGATGCTGACGTGGAGAAATGCAGGGACGGCAAACTTTATGGCTGTGGGGGAAAGAAAGAAGAAAAAAAGAAAAAAAAGAGAAAGACCAAAAGAAAAAAAAAAAAGGACACTTTCCTATAAACTTTCCTTGGCGCTCCCAGCTCAGTGATGTTCCCCGGTGGAGGCACTGGCAGTGTCAGACCACACTGCACCACTCTGAAGGAGGCAGCAGCTGAACAACCTGTACTAAAATAACTCATAAATACCCCGTTGTGCAAACGGTAACGTCCTGGACCACACATTGCTCTGCACGCTTTTGCCAGGAACGGTGTGAGCCAGGTTCTATTTAATGCAAATGCTGCTGTGTGCACTTACTAACAGCTCGGCTCGGAACTTGGGTGTCCTCAGGCCACGGAGGGTGCCCGTGGGTGCTGTAGCTCCTGCTGGGTGTGTGCTGGGGCTGCGCCCCACCATGACTGCGTCACTGAGAAACAGCACTGTCACCGCTAGCCTTGACCCTCGAGCTAGAGAGGAGAAATGCTCCCAGCTCTTCAGATCTCCTCTGGAGCCAAAGAGAACATATTGCAACCAGCACCTTGCTGGAGCAGCCACAGGACTGGAGCGGGGCCATCGCTGCCTTCTGCAGGACACAGCGCAGGTGTCTGCCCCACTGCTGCTATTTAAGCCTCATTGCTAAGTAGCTCCTAACCTTTCCCTTCATCCTCTCTTTCCCGCGGTGGCTGGCAGCCTGAGGAAGACGAGCCGAGGCAAGCAGGCTGAGCAGCTCCCACCCTGGGGATGAGGCTAATGTCATTTACTCCAGTCTCCACCAGCTGGATCTTGGCTGGGGAAAGACGCTGTGCACAGACCATTGTGAGTGCACGTCCTTGGGCTGCACGCCCGCAGGA